ATATATATATATATATATTTTGTAGCTTACTCGTCAAATGCACAGGACAGACTTTCTTTGTTGTGGGGTTTCTTCTATAACTCTGGCGTCAAATTTGGCTTCTCTGCTGCAGCTGCTACTCCTGCCGTATAAATTTGCCCGGCACTGAAGAAACTTAAGCTCCAACGAACAATTCAATGATCCTAAAGGCATGAAACAAACCTTTCGGTTTGTGGTGGCTCCGCTGAGTGGTTACTCCTCTTGACTCCCGCGGCTGCTGTGTTGGACAGACTTCGCAAACTACAAGTTGCGATTTCACACCGCTGGAAGTATGTATCTCTTTACTCGAACGCATCTCAGGCCTCTTATGACCAAACTTTGATCGGTTACATCCCTTTGATGGCCGATTCCACTGCTGATTCCGTAGTGAAGTTGCCGGGGGTAGTCAGGGGTATGAGTAGTAAATCACAGTTTGCACTGCGCACACTGGGGTGGGGAATTAGACTGGAAATGGGGAAGGCTGTTCCAAAGGGAAGATAGGGACAGTGGAGATTCAAGAGGCATGAGCCTCGTATGATGCAGCTATAAATGGGTAACAGGGGACGAATCCTTGGTGTCACCGGTACCCAAGATGCATAGGATGATACTAGAGGGATAATGATGCCAGATGGTGGAAGTCTCGAGGGAAACGCAAACTGCTGATGAGGGGCGCAGTATGTTTTTAGGACAGTATTTTTTTTCTTTGCTTCGAACTCTCCCATTTTTCTGCCCGTGGATAAAACTGAGTGAAAAAAAAAAACCCCAACCGCAAAGGCGCAAATTTGGTGATGGGAGAAGTGGAAATAATTGCACAAAATTTGATTTGCTGCAAAAAAAAAGAATTAGTGGACCGGAAAAGGGTCGAAATTAGGGGAATTCGTTGCATGATACAACATGTTTCGGTTTTCAATGTAATGCAATGATATCGCGCGAAACAATCTTTTTTCATTTCAATGAAAACAGGATATAATCTAGAAATATGGAACATATCAGATCATTCATCACAGAAATGATGTCTGAAGAGGGAAGAGGTGGACTCTGCTCCGAGACTGGTAAAATTGGGATTTGAATATGCTGATAAGAGGGTGACAACGAATATTTGTGACGGAGTTACGATAAAAACAAGTAATCTCTGAATCGTGAAATGTTTAGAGTAGCAGAGGGCATTTTTGGACACTTCCGGGTATGCACAACAGTCAGCCTCAACTACTGCGGTGAATTTTCATTTGATTCAATCGGATGCTGACGAAGTGGTCTTTTGGTCGGGATGACCACTTCGTCAACATAGGATTGACACACTTCGTCAAACCCCGACGGTGCTATTTGGTGTCTTGGTTTGAAGCGTGTTACGAAGCAAACCAACTCCTCTGATATTTTTATGCGTTTTTTGCAGGTGTGCAGTGCGAATAATTGGCCAACGCACGGGCTGCCCGTGCGAAGATGCGTTTTTTGCAGGTTCCCCGCAGTTTTTGTCGCTACCGGCATCGGTTTTTTCGGCAGATGCTTCTAGCTGAAAGAATTTTAGACTGACCGCCAGAACTGTCAGGAAACATCCCCTCAAAATTCCAGTCTTCTAGCTTCTCGCGTTCTCGAGTAAGTAACTTACCCGGAAGGAACTTTGCACAGGCCTTACCCACGGGCAGGGTTTGAACTCGTTGATACCCACTTAGACAAGGAAATCCCCTAAGATTTCAGCCCTCTAGCTTCTCAGAACCCCGAGTTATGAATTTACGCGGGAAAAGTTTTGGGTGGCCCGTACGCGGGTGCCACGCTTACCGGTGACTGGATTTGAGCTCATTAGCACTTGCTTGGATT